GCTTTCGTCCACCCGATCCCTAAAAAAGGCGACCGCTCAGACCCGTCCAACTACCGGCCTATCGCCATCACCTCCTTGTTCTCCAAAACAATGGAGTCCATTGTAAACTGCCAGCTCATGAGGTACCTTGAGGATCACCAGCTGATTAGTGACCGCCAATACGGTTTTCGCCGTGGTAGGTCAGCTGGTGATCTTCTGGTCTACCTAACTCACAGATGGGCGGAGGCAGTAGAGTCCAAGGGGGAGGCATTGGCCGTTAGTTTGGACATTGCGAAGGCCTTCGATCGGGTTTGGCACAAAGCGCTTCTTTCGAAGCTCCCTTCCTATGGGCTTCCCGAGAAATTGTGCGATTGGATCACCAGTTTTCTTGCAGATCGGAGCATCAAGGTCGTTGTAGACGGTGCAAGCTCCGATTGCAAGCCTATTAATGCTGGTGTTCCACAGGGCTGCGTGCTATCGCCAACGCTGTTTCTTCTGCATATCAATGATATGTTGCAGACCCGTAACATTCATTGCTATGCAGATGACAGCACTGGTGATGCTCTTTACACCGGCCGAGCCAATATTTCTCGGGAAAACGTCTCCGAGTGCCGGGACAAACTTGTGTCTGAAGTCGAGTCTCTGCTGGACAGAGTCTCGGATTGGGGGCGACTAAATCTAGTCCAGTTTAACCCCCAGAAGACACAAGTTTGCGCGTTAACCGCTAAAAAGAACCCCTTTGTCGTATCCCCTCAGTTTCAAGGCACTCCCCTTGTTGCCTCAGCCAGTATCGGAATCCTCGGCGTCGACATATCGAGTGACGTGCAGTTTCGTGGTCACTTGGAAGGGAAGGCCAAATTGGCCTCTAAAAAGCTTGGCGTGCTCAGCAGAGCGGGACAGTATTTCATGCCGGCACACCGCCTGCAACTTTACAAGGCGCAGGTTCGGCCGCACATGGAATACTGTTCCCATCTCTGGGCTGGGGCTCCCCAGTACCAGCTCCTTCCACTTGACCACATCCAGCGCAGAGCGGCTCGAATCGTCGACGACCGAGTGCTTTCCGATCGGCTCGATTCTCTGGCACTGCGAAGAGATGTTGCATCCCTTTGCATTTTCTTTCGCATATACCATGGAGAGTGCTCTGAGGAATTGTTCGGATTAATCCCAGCCGCCAAATTTCGTGAACACACTACGCGGCAAACGTCCCGATACCATCCACACCATCTGGATGCTTGGCGGTCCACCACTGTACGTTTCAAAAGGAGTTTTCTTCCGCGTACAACCTCTCTGTGGAATAATTTACCACCAGCGATTTTTCCGGACCGATACGACCTGGGGACCTTCAAGAAAAGAGCTTACTCCTTTCTAAAGGGCCGGCAACGCGTCTGCAATTCCCCTGGTGTTGCAGTTGATCATGGGCGGCGGTAGTCACTTAACATCAGGTGAGCCACATGCTCGTTTGCCCCCTCTTCTATAAAAAAAAAAAAAAATATTACGACACCCTGTCTTACACCTCTCTGCAGTTGGATAGATTTCATATTCTGGTTCTGTAAGCGGATAATAATTGTAGTACTACTGTAAAACACTTCAACACTTCGATATACTGACAGTCAACTGGACACCGCTGAAGAGGCTGCAGCACCGACCAAATTTCGACGGAATCAAAGACTTTCTCATAGTCCACATACACAATACAAAGTGGTAGATCGTACTCTTCGGTCTTCTGTACAATTTGCCGTAGGGTAAGTATGTGTTCTATGGTACTTAATCCTTTTCGGACACCGACTTGTTGGAAGTTGATGAGTCTGCGAGAGAGACGATTCATAATATATCTCAAAATCAGTACGTAGACGCGGCTCAGAAGGGAAATCGGTCTGCAGTTCTTCAAGAGAGCGTTTTCCCCTTTCTTGAAGAATTCCACCGCACTTCTGATCTACGCCTCCGGAGTAGTGCCATCATAAAGGATAAAATTGAAGAGTTTCTGAAGAACTTAAAATATCGGTTTTCCACTCACTCCACTCCGCTCTCGCTCAGATTCGACGTCCGGGATATCATCAGAATAATGTTGGATAAGACTTGATCTTGGATTGTGACTCACACTTGTGTGTGGCTCTAATGATGACGTGTACACCTGCCCATAGAACCTCTCAATTTCACTCAAAATCTCAGGTGTCCCGGAAACGATTCTACCAAATTTAGTCTTCAGCTTCGAAAGTTGGCAGATTCTGGTAGACAGATCTCTGGCAAAGACTTTGGAGCCCTGGTTCCGCTCATTCGCTTCTTCAATACGAGCACTACTGAAGTTGCGTAAGTCCCGGCGCATGCATTTAGAGATCTGTCTGTTCAGTTGCCTGTATGCCGTCAAATCTGCTGAAGACTGCAGCTTCATCTCCCGTCTAACAGTAACGAGATTAAGAGTATGATCGGAGAGCCTTTGTGTTCTTCTGCGACGGGTCTTCCAGAACTTTGCTCCGACTGTATAAACAGTTTTCACAAGCTTGTTATTTATATCCTCCACTTCATTGCAATCTTCTAAGCACCGATTAATAACGATTTTGTAACTCGAGCTGAAAGGTTTCGGGGCTTTGGAACATTGACATCAATAGACGTGGCTTCTCCAACTTCACGTTTAGGTTCAGTGTGCCCTCTCATAATTCGGTTATCACTGCCAGTAACGTGAAAAGCTCAGACGTCCATGTATTGTTAAATAATTACGTATCATAATCATCACCAATAAATGCTATCATAAGTTCACGCCTCTCCCAATTATTGCAAAATACCGGTATAGTCATTATAGCAACGTCAGAGGACCTTAGCACTATACAATGCACAATGAACTATAGGTGGGAGAGTTACGCTGCAGCTCTGTTATGGTTGTAGCTTAAATGGGATTGTCAACCCAGGAAGGATCTCGCTCTCACAGAATACCAGCATAATATAACGCTTGCTGCTGTGTGGCGTGTGTACAGAACCGGATACCATTTTTACTAGAAAACGAGGCATTCCATCTTAATCGTCAAGGTACGATTCCGTAGCCGACTGCAGACAGCAGCAGCAAGCGACGTGTCTTCGCGACACAACTGGTTTCTATGTAGCTCTATGAAATACATTCCGTGGCTAGAGACTTTTACTTTTTTAGAGTTTGCCTAGCGGCAGACGACACTGTAGCCCGACCGCAGCTCAGTAGTGCCGCCAACGCTCGAGCGACAACACATTGAAATTTTCTTAAAAAATGAGTTTCACCGATTCCGAGGAAGATTCCATCACTTCCTCTGCATTTCAACGTAGGACGTGTATCTTTTTGTCTTTTTTCTTTATACTTGTTTAAAAAAACAAGTCATCATCATTTTGTTCCTCTTCTAACAAAAGATACAAAAAAAAATCGCGATCGCTAATTTCAAGCACGTGAGACGTCATGTCCCGTCGCGACGACACGTCGTCTGCTGCTGCTGTCTGCAGTCGGCTACGAAATTGCACCTTCAGGCTTGATAGCGCGTCTATACTCTCATAATCTGTAAAAAAACGCCATATTGTCTCCCACCAGTGAAATATAAGAACACCTACAAGACAAAGATTATGTTAAACCAAGTAGCAATAAGTACCTCTCGATGTTGTTAACGAAGATGTTTACCTAGGACAAATTTAACATGAATTCACTAATAAATATGAAACTGTTTTATGTTACCATTTTATCCAGCAGGGGTTCAGCGGTGCAAAAGGCGTTAACTCCTACGTAAGGCATCGCTATGGCCTCCGCGAGAGAATTCGCCATCGGTTTTGTCACTCGTTCCCCCATCTCAAGTGACTCGTAAAATGTTGGCATCACTTCTGACTGGACACCCTAACGCAAAATTTTGCCTTTTTGATGTGAAAATTTCTTTAAAATCGTTGTGATTTAAAATCGATAAAACCCAACCAACAAAATAAAGACCAACATATACATATATCTGTAGGATTTGGCCTACGAGAGAATGAGATGATTACGTAAACCCTAAAGTTATCCTACTCCTAATACCCTGCATTTGTTTCATTTTCTCGAAGTTTAGTTTTCTTAAGTTTTCACTTCTACGACGTGTGAACTGCACACATGTTTTTATTCATTGATTTCATAGTCACTTCCGGTGTATCGTAAATGTTCATTTATTTCATCATTACAGCCCTTCACAAGTCCACTGCTAAACATAGGTCATTTAGTTAAACGTAGAAAAATTTATGATTTGCGTTTTTATCCGTAGATTATATTGATAAACTCCTCAAAAATTGACTGCCTCTTTGATCTAGTGGTGGTAGTAGTGCCACTGCTGATTATGAGGTCCTGGGTTCGAATCTGGGGTCGGGCCAAAAATCAATTATTGAGTTTTTCCGTCAAGAAATACTCAGTAGCTGCCCGGAGTCATGAAGTTGGCGGTGTCTTACCCCCGTGCCTCGGAAACGTTGATCCTGCGCCTGATATCTCTCCGGTCGTGTCGGTTTACTGTCCCATCGGATTATGAGAGTGAGGCAATAGAGAGTGCACCTGTGCTTGCGCATACACTTGGGCACTATAACCCTGTCCTGCGCCGATGGCTAGTCTCCGTTAAGGCTGGCCGCCGTGACCGAAATTCGGTCTGGAGGCCATTATTATATTTATAAACTAATTCACGTTTACTTATTCATATCCACCGCAGACAAGAAAATGCAGATTAGCAGCAAGAAAAGAAAAGAGGTAGTTGTCTACCCTCCAAATTTTAGGAGACATAATAGACGTATTTTTTCTAAGGTTTTCTATTCAGTATACTGCCGTGAAGTGAGGAATACAAAATAACAAAAATTAGAATCCTCTAAATTTTCTGATGGATTTTTATTTTTTTAGAACTCCGTAAGGGATAACGTTACATTTTGTTTTTGCTGCAGTGGGACTTATGAAGTTATGTAAAAGCTATTTAAAGTATTCGACGATTGAATATTATAATTTAATTCTAAAAATTGAACTGCGATAGTATTAATTTTATAATACCTTCTTATAAAACATTTTTACTAACGTAAACAAGACAGTTTGGCTTAGAGTGTTTTATGACAGTAGCGACCGCAGCTACCAGGCCGCCGGTACCAACTGGCACTATAACGGCGTCCACGGTCGGCACTTGCTCCAGTATCTCCAAAGCGACGCCTCCGTATCCTATCAGAACGTGTGGGTGATCGCGGCTGTATTAATAAATAGAAAATATGTCAATATAAGTACTTTTTTTTTTCGTGAAATAAAAAGGTTTTCATAGAATTTTCATAGGACTATATATTAGTAGACCACACAAATACTTATTCCGTCCCTCTAACCAAACCTGCGGTCTGTAGTGTCCCAACCAAATGCTTGAGATATGTTCTACCGAGCCTAATAATTATTAAAAATTTATTGAATTACGATTTAAGGTTTAAAAAGGTTTTTGATGGGCAATTGCAGTATAGGAAGATCCCACACTAAATGAAAAGATGGCATTCAGTTTCTGAGTTGGCATGTATTTTCCGAGTTAGCATGCAGTTTCTGAGTTGGCATGCAGTTTCTGAGTTGGCATGTAGTTTCTGAGTTGGCATGTAGTTTTTGAGTTGGCATGCAGTTTCTGAGTTGGCATGTAGTTTCTGAGTTAGCATGCAGTTTCTGAGTTGGCATGTAGTTTCTGAGTTGGCATGTAGTTTCTGAGTTGGCATGTAGTTTCTAAGTTGGCATGTGAAACTACATGAGTTGGCATGCAGTTTCTGAGTTGGCATGTAGTTTCTGAGTTGGCATGTAGTTTCTGAGTTGGCATGCAGTTTCTGAGTTGGCATGTAGTTTCTGAGTTGGCATGGAGTTTCTGAGTTGGCATGTAGTTTCTGAGTTGGCATGCAGTTTCAGAGTTGGCATGAAGTTTCTAAGTTGGCATGTGACACCCTATGAGGCTATCAGGTGAGATGAATTGTAAAGATGATTGAATTATTTTGACTTTATTATAGTACTTTTAATAAAATATCTAGATGTTATTAATATATAAGTATCTTAAATTCAAAATTATAAATAATTGTTGGACGGTACTATACGATTTTGTGACCGCCCAATATACCAATTAAGCTATTTGTAATCATTAATAAACTGTCAAAATTTACCTTCTTATTCTAACGATATTGTAGCAGTTTTTCATTGCCTAAAAACACGGACAAAAAGACATTTTCTAAAAATAAATCCTAGCTAGATCGATTTATTGCCCCCGAAACTCCCTGCAAACAAAATTTTATGAAAATCATTGGAGCCGTTTCCGAGATTCCGATTATATATATAATAAATAAAATTGAAGTATCTGTGTGAAATGTCAAAATAACAGCCTTTTACTAAATGCATATGAACGTATATACGATACTTATAACAAAAAATACAATTTTTAAAACTTTTGTCAGTCTGTCTGTTTGTTCCAGCCATCGATCACTAATATTAAACTAGATACACAATCCCATACAAAAGTTCTCTTAAAACTGTCCCCAACGGTTTTGACGTAATTCTAGTCGAAATAAACATACATTAATGCAAATTCAACCTTAAATGCATGGTGTATAGTTAGTATTCACAAAGCTACGTACAAAAAGCAATACATTTTTATGACTGTACCTGCTGCTCAACCTATATCAAAACAAATTCATCCTTACACGCATGTTTTAAAGTCAGAATTACAAAGTGCCAATAAAAAGAAATTAAATTTTACGACCAAGGGTCGTCGCTTGGACAAGGAATGAGGGAGTCGAACTGCCCAATATTTTTGTTACTGTAATTTTAAAATTTTAATGTTGTTAATTTTTTTTTTAAATTGGTGTAGTAATTGGTGTATTATGTGTAATGATTATAATTAACCTGAATGTAAATATGTTTTTGAATAGGATACCACATACATTTAGAAATGAAAGTACTTAAAACAGTCATAATTATTTATTTATTTTATATCTTGTGTCAAAAATTTAAAAATATTGCTTATATTATTATCTTATCATTAAATCTAAATTCCATGGTTACTAAATATAAAAAGTATGTACAGAAAGTTGTAAAATCTAATAATATTATTGTGCAAAATTTTGACGTAATGTTCATATTTACAGAGGTTACAAAACAATACTGGATAAGACAGAATAATTATGTTATTAATTTCCTTGAAATAAAATGAGTTTATTAAATAATCGTCTTTTAGATAGAATTTTATTTTTTCCGTATCTTTTTTTACTATGTAATGGAATCTTACTTTAAGGTACCGTTCAGTAATCGATTTTATTGTAATAACTCTATGATTATTATCGTGACACTTGGATGAAAATATGTCGACACCTAAAAATGATGACAATACCATGCTGCAAATTTGAGAAATATCAAAATTCTTGTTAGTACACATGTGGTAGTATCTAATTGCAACTTCTGTTTTTTTGCAAACAAGAAATACATCTAGAGATGAAAAAAACAGTCCCCCTAAGGTTTCTTATATCAATAAGTTTGTGAAAAAAAGCCTATCTCGAGCTAATAAACTATTTACGCATGCGTCACCAGGTTCAACCAGGTTCTGCATTTATACTTCTGTACCAGTTGCATAAAGTATTCGGGTGAGATAGGCAAGTGTCAAACATTTTTCGTATGTACTTATACGCGGCTGGTGAATAGAAGTGTAGTGTAATGGCGAATTTTCTGACACCCGGTGGATATTGAGAAAATGGCCGCTTTCTGCCTGTTACGTTCTTTAAATAAATAGCATTAAGTGTCTGTAACTTCTATATGTTTAGATAGGTCATGAAGTAATGACTGAAAAATGTTTTGTAGCGTAAAAAAATGCTTTGAACATACAACGCTTCCTTGAGTCGGCTTGAAGAATTCTTCGGATCTCTGACGTGCTATGACTGATATCCATTCTCCACACCTAACTTGATCTCGAGGAAAGCTAAAAAATAAAAAATAAAATCTCACATCTTTAATTTTATTACATGCACATATTCAAAATTAAATCAATAAAATGTTATTATAATATTTAGAGAAACAATAAAGCAGTCTCATTAAATAAAAAAACAATCAAACTTAAATAATAAAAAAAATTAAAAAGAATAACGTCTCCAACAAGTGGAACAGAGTCAACGCACATAATTCTGGAACAATCATGACTTACTTATTATGACTTAATTTAAAAAATGTTTTAGGGATTTCTTGACAAAATATAAGTATTTACAATATAGTGATAACAATTAAATAACGATAATATTAATACATACCGAAAATAGGAAATTCTATCCTTTTTTTAGGGTCCTGAATGTGTGATTTTTACACTTTTTAAACGAGCACTGAGGCATGTTTGCCGTCGGAGTATTCGAATGTAACTAAATTAAAAGCGCACCCAAATGTTCGAATGGGTGCTCATTTGGTGAGGTCGCTTTTTGTCACTGATTGTGTATCTGGGTTTTTATTAGTGATCGATGGTTCCAGCTGATCTCCGAAATGACTAAGTCGATTTTTGGCGGGACTTTTACTGGCTGATAGCTGATGTTATAAGGAGTAATTTAGGCTACCCTTTTTTAGGAAAAATAAAATTAGGGTTCTGTGCAAAAAAATTAAAACGTATGAAATCCAATCGTAACGAACTCCACGCGGGCGAAGTCGCTGGGAACAGCTAGTGTGTAACTTATAACATAACTGAAAGTCAAGGACTAGAACTTTCTCGTTAATATAAATACACACCCGTTAATAAATGTGAGTCCTTTATCTCTTGCGATAGCCCGAGCATGTTTCTGAGACTCTTGTAGGTCGTTGCCCTCCACAATCACCTTTGCGCCAAAGTTCTTACATATCTGTAGTTTTATAAGTGGCACTCCTTTTGGCATTACTACGACCACGGGTATATGCAGTTTGCCGCCGTAGTAGCAGATACCAATAGCCTGGTTACCCATTGAAGCCAAAACTACCCCAATTTTCTTCTTATCTTGTGGGAGCATTTGTAAAACGTTTAAAGCCCCCCTCTCTTTAAAACTGAAATTAAAACAATTAAATAAATAACCCTTTAATGTAACTGTACATTTTGTGACTAATCTAAAATAATTACATTTTATACAAATATACCTTCCAGTTTTAAGAACGAATTCCAATTTATAGTACAATTTCATACCAAATGCATTTTGCGGTTGTGATTCCTGTCAAAATCAGAGGACAAAATTATATAAAAAGATCAAACATATAGTACAAAAAACATCTGTTTTAATTTATATTTATACATTATTATATATTTGTAATTGTGATAGTACTTGGGAATTGCTGCTTAAAACATTAAATATAGGTAATCAAAAGTTACCTCTCAATTTTGAGAAAATTATGGAACAATTTGTTCGCCAAACTGTTTCAGTACGTGTTGGCAGATGTCAATTCCGCCGGGTGTCGGGGTTTGAACTTGGGTGTCTCAGTTACGGCTACTATGCCTCTCATTTGAGTCGGTAATAAGTCTGTGTCCATAGTAGTATGGTGGACAATAAGTCCCTTCAATTAATACATTGCTATACTAGTTCAGTAGTAAGATATCTTGACCAAAGGATGTTTAGAATTATGCATGTTTTTAAGTTTTACTATCACTAATTGACTTGTTGCTATTTGAAAGGTGGTAGATCTATTGAAATGATAGTTTATTTTTAATGAGTTTGGTAGGTTCTTATATTTCATTATGACTATTATATTTTTAAACATAGTTTTAAGGCTTTCAGTAGAAAGATGATCTCATAATTTTTTTTGGATTTTGTCACGATCTTAAAGTTGTCTCTGAAATGGTTTCATAGTCATCAATATTTGTTATGTTAAGGAAATACTAAAGATTGAACCTGACCAACTTTCAAATTTACGGAAAAGGAAAAAACATTAATATAATTGTAAGATATCTAAGATTTCACATTCACAATCAGTTTTTCGATGTACGTCAGTTCAACTAAAAAAAAATCCGTGGGTTACCGCCAGTTAAAATTTCAACTTAAGATTTCACACTCACGGTCAGTTTTTGGATAAATGGTGGTAAATCCGCGGAAATAGTTTAATAAAAGACTAAAAAAATCAGTTTTAAACTGAAAAATGGAAAGGGAATGTTGAAATGTTGAAAATAAGCCTATAATACCTATGAGCTCTTTGTCAGTGAAACTCTCATTATGTGGTGTATTTCTGAGCTTATTAATGATGTCAAGTTTACTTTTTTAAAAGTTTAGTAAGTGTTTTAGTATAGACGCTTTTTAGTATTATTTCTATAAAAATACGCGTAGTATAATTTTCTAGTAGCCTCTATGCGCCTGTATTTTTGTGTTTGTGTGGTTTTGAAGTGGTGTATTGAACTTATCATTTTTCAATTTTGTGTTTTTGTGTAACTACAGGAAAATAATAATACCGCAACAAGCAACAAATTTAAAATTATTACTATATTTAATTATTAACGAAATTTAAATATAACATTACTTTTCTACCAAAAATCACACAAATGACATTAGATATTAGACAATCTCTTAATAATTGCAGCTGCGTGGTGCGGATATCGTATCGGATGCGTAGTTACGAGCGTGAGTGCGTCGATCTTTTCCAATATCTAATTAGCTCTATTAGCAACATTAACTATCGACAAATGCATAAAATTAGTTCATAAGCTCAAGAGAAATTGTTATCGAAAATATTCGACAACGATTTCTCTTGAATTTCTCTTGAAAACCTCATGACGTTTTTGAGCTCGAAGACTTAGTTCTTTGAAATTAACGGGAAGTTGCAGGGATGGCATGTAGAGTCGACCGTACTTTTTTATAGAATGAGGGTGATGAACAAGCAAACAGTCCATCTGAGGGTAAGTGGATGTTAAGACTGATGTGTCTATATTCATATGATGTGAATATTATTTTTTTATTTTCTTTAATACAGTTTCAATGAAGTGCTTACATAACATGGTGTTACTGTTATCAGTGGTCGGCTTCGGCTAGCAGCATCAACTACATCCTCGTATTTAATTTTTTTGGGGTTTTCTGGGTCGCACAATTCATCGAAGTCCTCCTGTATAAAAAGGTACCTACATATATATTGTTTCTTAAACTATATATATTACTGTCCATCGATGACGTATTATCGTCGATGATGTGTCTTTCTTAGTATAGTGGTGTTGGGAGCAGCGGTTCGATCGGGGTAGGACCACGCTCTCACAGAATACTAGCGTAAAATAGCAGGTTAATGCTGCTATGTTTCGCACGGTGAGTTTAGAGAACCGTAGACCCTTTTTACTGAAAACGAGGCATTCTATCTTAGTTCTCAGGGGTGACAACGCATCTGCATCTTGATTCTTAATTAGGAAGAAATGTAGATGTCTATGTAAATGTCTATGGATCTCAGTATCCATTTACCATCAGGTAGACTGTGTGCTCGTTTGTCTCCCCACTAATATCAAAAAGTCAACGAATAACCCAAACATCAAAACATTTTTAATGCATTTTTTGGTATCGAATTTAGTACCCGCTTAGTTTCGGAAAAATAAAAAAAAAGGCCGGAGTCATATCAGCGGAATACCGTGGCTGTTTAATAAGATTGTTGAGCTTTTATCCAGAAATTCTTTCACTAGAGCATATTATGATAGCATAGCATAGAGTATATGCTCTGTTTACACGGGCTACAGGCGGAACCCTCGTAGCTATTGTATCGTTTTCCCCGATACAGTACTGCAGTCCGTTTTTTGCAGGTGGAGGGGGGAATCTGCGCACACAAAAACAATCGTCCGTCGCTACTAAGCTCCAACATAACAATTAAAACAATAATCTTATAGTTTCACACACACGTAGAATAAATTTTATATGCTCAGATAATAATTTTAATTTACTGTCTCAACCTCTGGCAAGAATTCCGAGGGCACAACATGTTATCTATATGATCGAAATAAAAACTGTCAACATTACCTTAACTTATTTACTTTACTTCACTTACACGAATTTGACGTGCTTTTTGCGGTTTCGGCTCCATTGGGAGGCGCTAATTCCAAGCTTTTTTGCGTGAGTCTAATTTGCATGAGTCTCATCATTATTTAAAGTGCGTTTTATGAATGTGTGGTCGGAATCGACTCGTTCTATGGTGCCTTTAGCGACCTTTACGCGATTGAGTTTTTGCAAAAATTTTAGGTTTTTTGGCACTAGTCAGTCGAGCAACAATAGGTTTCATTAAAAACAATCGTTTAAAATGGTACTTGATTTGTGAGACAAGTAAAATTTCAGCGGCTGTCTTTCCCAGACTTAAACACGACCAAAGTGCCAAACGAGTGACAAACGAGCACACAGTCCACCTGATGGTAAGCGGTTGCTGTGTCCCATAGACATCTACATCTATCCTCGATTACGAATCAAAATGCTGATGCGTTGTCACCCGTGAGGACTAAGATGGAATGCCTCATTTCTAGTAAAAAAGAGTCTCCGGTTCTCTACACTCACCATACGAAACGGCAGCAGCATCATTAAGCTCCTGTTTTACGCTGGTATTATGTGAGAGTATAGTAATTTTAATTCTAATATCAAAATTGGTATGGGCAGTAGATACCTTCTTTCCTGTCAGTTGTGGATTCTTCAAGGCCATGTTTCGTCGCCGTCGTTTCTCACTTCAGTTTGAGCCGATCTCAATATCTTCCGAATAATATCAGTGATGGATTATGTGTAACATTTACTTTCTACGGATATTTTACGGTATGTATCATCATCATCATTATAGCCCTTCACAACATCACTGCTGAACATAGGCCACTCCTAAGAAATGCCACAAACAAGGTTCTAAGCCACGTCCATCGATCGACTTCTTACATGTCTTACCAGGTCCTATGAGGCTGCTACTCGAGAACATTTCTTTCTCAACTCTTGTCGGTTTCGCGAGCTATATGGCCAGTCCACTTTAGCTTACTGATCCGTTGTGCTGTCGTTCACGTGGGCTCTATGTAGATACTATAATTATATTCTATGTAAATATAAATATACTAAACAATTACTAACGGTTCGCCGTGACGACATTTTGTAGTTCTCGCCCGTGGTTATCACTAAAAATTTATCAAGGATCCTAATAAATTTAACATTTAAATGTGTCACTTGGTGTCACTCGGTGTCACTGGAGGTCATAGATTATTATAGATATCTATATGATTTATATAGATACTCTTTGATATATACCTGCTGGAGGTTGAAAGCAAGTAACAGTTAAACAAGTTGGAGTCGACTTAAGCTTAGATAAAGTCATCAGATAAAATTAAATCATTGGATGAACTATAATATAACATACTAAAGATTATAGTTGTATTAGTAGAAAAGTTCTATTTTTGACCTTGTCTTAATTTTGTCAGTTTATAATTTATTAGATAGATAAATTTTATCTGAAGATTGAATGATCAGCCCTTAAAGCAGGGATTCCCAAACTATTTTAGGCAAGAAACCCCTTTTCCAAAATGAATTGATACCTTATACCCTCATAGCCAATTACTTTGAAAATCCCAATCTCTAGTTTTTTTTCCTATTGATACGAAATACTTACCATTGAGTTTTTTTGGAATTTCTTATAAGAAGTTGGTACACGTAACACAACTTATACAGTATCTTGAAAGTTTCAAATAAGAATTTGTATTTATTAATAGGGGTTGATTATTAAATGTCGTCGACTCACAAAACCGGTTTTCGTTTATGTCGACCCCTGGGAAATCGATTTCGAATGCAAGGGGTCGATATTGACCACTTTGGGAATTCCTGCCTTGGAGTAATAGTATAGGTACGTAAATCCTTTTTCTATAGCCTATAAAAAAGTATACTTGTGTACTACTCAATGTATAGTACATTTATTTAGTCACCTTCGGAGTTATAGTACCGCTTTCCGTTTCAATGTAACTCTGAATTTTTGCAGAAAATGAGAAAAATGCAACCAAATGTAGTCGTGGCAACCATACAAAGCGTATGGTGTCCGTGCGGTCCCCGTGTATTTTTGATACGTAGTGTAGATAAAGTAGTTATCTACACTATGTACATATCAAAAATCTTCCCGTTACTATAGAATGTATTCTATTAATACGATATATGTACATCAACAGATATTGTAAGTTTGTAAAAGCAAAAGATAAAATGATGTGGGTTGAGGGTGGTGCTTAAAATTTTTCCATGACATAGTATTGAAAACAGACAAAAAATATGTGCCCATCTAAAATCTAACATAAAATAAATAATCATTGGTATATATGAAACTCTTTAATTTCTCATCGCTTAATTTGAACATTTTTCATTCATTCAGTACGGCCATCTTTTGCTAATTATGTTTTTTTTTTTTAATAAAACATTTATAACTACAAAAAGCTCTCAGGAGCATAAGAAAATTTTCCATTTGACGTTAAAAATACGGTCACTCAATTCTGGTGGGTACTAAATGAATATATAATAGTTAAGATAATGCTTATTTGTTTGATTTTATTAGAAATATATTTTAGTTATGCAGTAGTTCTTTTAATCTAATCTACAATGTGTCCTGCAAATTATACGTGACATAATGGTCACCCCATCCATTGTAATGCAGGTCATTATTGAATAGACTTATCTTTTAAAATACATATTCAGCAGACAAGCAAATTTTTTTGAAGGAATGTACTCATAAACTCAACTAACGTACATTACTTTCACTTACATATTTTACCTAGTTTAGGTTAGAAACGACTACTTTACTGCACAGCCTTTGTTTTCTCAAGCGAGTCACATACTACACAGATACTAAAATATTTCTGTACCTGAGCCCATACATTTAATATCGCTGTATGAAATTATATGAAGTAACACACAGCACTGACAATATGTTCCAAAATATAACGCAGTGTACTGTCCAATTCAAATAACGTCATGAATCGACGCTATACTAGTGATTCGTTCCAAAACATAGGAAGGTATATGACGTCATACATTTGCGCCATATTGGAAAAGTGTTGGCGATTATTTTGTTACTTTGTCCTCCAAAAATCATTATATCCTCCTAATGGTGATAACAGCAATTATTCTATAATTTTTTGTATTTGAATCATTAAAAACAAATTCTGGCATGCTTCATTCAGCGCACACACAATGGGTGCGTTTGGCAGAAAAAAGCGCTAGCAAGCGCTTGTAAGCAAAATGGCGATCGTAAGCGGTAAGCGCTGTCAAATCGTAAGTAGCTATTTTCCTCTAGGACACGATGTTAGTTTTAACGGGGAAACCTAACCTAATTTAAATATATGTTTGTGAAGTATTCATATTAAAAACTTACCAATCATGAATTTTTAATAATATGTATATGTCTATTCATGTCATTACATTACTTAAAACTAATTTTACTCAAAACAACTTTAAACTCTACTTCAAAATAAACAAATTAAATAAGCAAAATGGCGGATTGTGTCAGCGCTACTGAAGTAGCAATCGTGTCCTGGCCGAAAACTATTTTAGCGCTTGTAAGCGCTTGCTAGCGCTTTTTTCTGCCAAACGCACCCAATTAAAAATTGTTTTATTATGGCCGGATATCCGACACAATATGGCGGCGGCACGCCAGTATAATATAGTGTCAATTGATGACGTCATTTGTATTCGGCAGTATACTGAAAACGTTTTCGAACATACCCTTTATATATCGAAAGACGATGATAATTTTATCTGCTTATACAAACATATCTGCAGATAACATCTGCAGATACAAATATGGCATAAGACTTTTCCTGCAGATAAATGGTTGCTGCAAAAATACGATTAATAATTTTGCCTAAATTTGCCTCGGTCTTTTTTAAGCTTTATATCACTACCTATCCAAATTCTTCGCTTTTTAGTAGGTAAACGCTAATGCAACATGTAGATTAAAATCAAAATCTCTGAAACCCTCTGTATAAACAATTCACTCCAAAAACACGTCTAGTAAGTTTGAAGGATTTAGAATGAATGTATCATTTCGTATATTATTGTTTCTGCGTAGTGTGTGATACTTTCAGATAATTAAGTTTTTATACGCAGATAAAATATTATCGCATATGCGTAGTCTGTGACTCACTTTTCGATGTCTTCACGTAACCTCCAAAAACAACTTTATAAGTAAACTTTTTTGAATAAATAAATAGTGACTTGACTTTTTGTAGTCATATATGTTAAATTAAAATATGTTAGACATCTAAAGAATCAGTTCAGCTGGGCAGCGTTCGGGAGATTACGACACATCTTCTCATCAGGACATCAAATTTTGAAAACAAGATTCTACAACCAGTGCGTGTTGCCAGTGATGACTTTTGAATCTGTTTTCAAACATGGTCCTTCATTGCTGGTCGTATGAGGAAGCTCAAGGTCGCTCAGCGAGCTATGGAGAGGGCTATACTCAGGGTTTTTCTGCATGATAAACTTAGAAATGAGGATATCCGCAGTAGAAACATATTAATATAATATTTTATCTCTATGACAATGAATATATTTAAACACCTTTAAACCTAAAAAAATGACAAAAAGAGGATACATGCGGAGTTGCTTTCGACGTTACTTCTCCGGATACAGGAACTCTTGTTATATTATATACAGGACGGTATTCTGTGAGAGCGTGCTCCTTCCCCAGTTGCGCTGATACATACGTATTTTTAAAAACTGGTCGATATTTTACAATGGCGATGAAAATAATTTTCATTTCATTGATACGATTTGCGATATTAAAATTTATTTTCTTTTTTTAGTCGGATTATTAAGCTGAAGTGGCAATGGGCCTACCATATAGCTCGAATAACTGACAACCACTGGGGAAGAAAGGTTTTTGAGTGGCATCTTGGTACCGGTAGGCGAAGTGTAGGGCCTACTAGATGGAGTGATGGGCTGGTAAGACATACAGGAAGTTGACGGATGCAGGTGGCTCAGGAAGGAGCTTTGTAGCATTCCTTGGAGGAGGCCTACTATCAGCTGTGGACTTGTGAAGGCGACAAAAAATTTGTACTGATTTACTGTAATGAGAAATTTCTGTAACAATTAACAATGTGACCTTCATGACTAATCGTTTATGTCATACTAATCAAAATTCATCTCTATATTTAAATATATTGATATGTTTAAATTTATAGTATAAATAAAAAACACTGTTTGTTTCATCTTTCATATCTTACTTATTCGTATTGTTTTTACAAGAATAACATTTACATTTTTCGAAAGTGCACAAAACCTCTTGATGAACTTTGCAAATATTTGGGAAGAACTTTTCTGTTAGTTTTTTCACTAAATTCACATGTTTTTGGTCGCGTGTTTCGCAAATGATTGATACCTGTAAAGAACTTTTATGTATTTTATGAAATTTGGGTTAAGTGGCTTACCTTTTTTTTATACTATGAAGGTTTTTTGTACGTAAGCTAACAAATATTTGATTTTTTTGCGGTGAAAGATAATTTATTTTATACTATCTCCTTTATCAGTTATCGCATGTGATGCAAATTTGGGATAGGTTGCAGCTTCTTTTATATGAATAACATTTATATAGTATAATAATAACAATCTTCATATAAAGTTACAATCCACTGATTTAATTAATTTATTTATTTAATAGTTTATGTACACACATACTTTGATAGGAAAATGGTTAAAAAATCTAATTATGTACAGAGGCACTGCTCGTTCTATGATGAATTTCTTCAAGCAGGCCTACTAAAGGTTAGTTGAAGAAATTTAGGTAATTGAAGTATGCATTAAACCAAATATACATATATAACACATACACACACGTTTGTATATACATAATGTAGAAATATTTATCAACTTAGTGGTGTCAAACATCATTGTTAAGCTAATAAGTACTTAGTAATAAGTAAAAAAGGAAAGGTACAGCCTATGTATACGTCCTATGAAATAACCTTTGTTTCTTTATCATATATTGTAAAAGTCGTCTCACGAACACATAAAAATAGTGAGTCTTACATTAATGTCATTCATATAGCTTTCTACTCCCCAAGATTCCTCCACAGTATGTCGAATTACATTGCAACCTAATTTTGCAATAATATTAAATATTTTCTGCAGGTTGCTTATCTCTAGTCCGGGTAGTGTCACCTGTAATATTCATGAATTTGACAAACTAGTCTGTGATATCAAATCTAAACTTTTATAAAGTTAAAACGAAGTACGTTTATACGTACTTCATTCAATATGAAGTGAAATGTCCATACATACGTTTACAGTTATTATCCGTCCCTCCAACGCTTGAGCTCTTTCTAAAGATCGAATAAGAATTGGTTCTAAATTACCTCCGCTGAGAACACAAACCACTCTGTAATATAATAAATAAACTTTAAAAAAAAGTCAAAATCGATTTTAAAGAACTAAAAATAATATACCTAATCATTGAAATCGGTCGACGTAGTAGATAATCATTCGCCTATATGGCATGCGAATGTCTTAGCAAATTCAAAAGTTTGACGATTTTCCCATGGACCTCATTTATATGGCCACTCCTGAAGTAAAGGGTACCTCTAACAGAAATTCATTTAAATCAAACAGTTTGATGCAGAATTATCACTGAACATCCATAAAAAAATGTTCCGACAAATTGACACCCTCCTCCTTTTTGGAAGTTGACTGAAAATGAATTGAGTTGTTATGAATCATATTCCTCTTGTGAGGCAATTTATGGGGAGGCCTATGTTCAGCAGGGGACTTTGAAAAGCTGTAGTGAATTAATGAAGTAGGTATATGTGAAAAATTATAAGCGATTAATCCGCTAGCATAACTATGTCATTATTATTTCCTATCCCAAGTAATCCATAAATCTTGAGTTTTCTTTCGGACTTACGTTTTATCTTTAAGCTCGATTAAAGCTCTTGGAAGAGCCATTAGTGATGCGAGGGGTGCAGCGGCAGCGCCCTCTGCTATAAACTTTTCATCTTCTACTAAATGTAATAGCGCTTTCGCTATCCAATCATCGTCTATTAAAATCTAAAATTAAATGAAAACTTTATTCTTCATCTGTCAAGTTCAATATTATTAATGTAATTAATAAATAAGAAATTAACTATTGATTTGATGAAGTTTTTAGCAGTTTCAAATGCATTACAACCGGCAATTGACACCTCTAACGAATTCGCTAGTCCACTCTGTATACCCGTTTCGCATACACTATTTCTCTCTAAAGCTTTCGAAAAATTGGGGCATCTGTCTGACTCTATGCCCTGTGGAAGAGAAAAAAGAACTATTTATACAAATATTGTGAATAGGCTCGCAAATTCAATTAAATTATAATTTACGCATGTTATATACTGTGTATGTTATTGACTATATATTGTTATTATTAAGTTTTGTTTATTTTGCTTATTTCGAATATTTTTCATATCTCTAAGATCCTAGATATAGTCATCATGACGTTTATTCCTGATCATTGGTCTCCCCCAATGAGTGACATAATGCATAATATTTAACCATTTGTATGTTAATGCCATCCCAAAAGGGGGACGAATGGCAAAATTACGAAGTGATAATCTCCCTACAACCCTGCCGAAATGCGAAAACGGTAAAACGACAACAACGGTGGTTTTAATCAGTAAAAGATTGATTTGGCTCACGCTTTACCCCATATCTATTTATTAGCCTATATCTCCCATTACAAAACTTGTATTTTCAATTACCACGGATTTATAAATCATGACCGTTAGGTCCATATTCATTTTAGAACCTTTGGTTCGAACAATAGTATGGTAAGTCCGTCTAATATAATAATGGCTTCCAGTGATTTTGCTATGCTTCAATTTTAGTATTCTTTACCTATCTTTTATACGTAGTAGAGACATGCTGCAGTTATATTAGAAGTATAGTTGTAGCACGAATGGGTCGGCTCGACCGGGGAAAGACCATGCTCTCACAGAATACCAGCGTGAAATAGTAGCTTAACGCTGCTGTTTTTCATATGGTGAGTGTAGAGAACCGGAGATCCTCTTTAATGGAAACGAGGTATTCCATCTTAGTCCTCACGGGTGACAACTTTTGATCATTTTGATCTGTAATCAAGGATAAATGTAGATGTTTATGGGCCGCAGCAACCAGGACCATCAGGTGGACTGTGTGCTCGTTTGTCATCCTATCCTATAAAAAAATCTTCTTAATATATAAAAAATAATTTTTGTTTGTTCGTATTCTATGCGCTGCCATGCCGTTCATCAGATTGTTGTAAAACTATGTCAACATATTGCTTGCACTTACGCGAAGATCATAGGCATAGTTGGACCTTATAGGCGGCGCTTTTGTAGAATCTAAATATCACCCGTGCGTAGCCTGGGTAAATCGCTAGTATTCTATAAAAAAGCTAAAAAAACCATGTGGGTGTAAATTACATAAACTAGGACGTCAGGTTTGATGTGTTTGACAGCTACGGCAATGCCAGCGACCAGGCTACCTCCGCCCACGGGAACCAGTATGGCATCGGTTTTGGGCAATTGCTTTAGTATTTCCATACCGATTGTACCCGATGCCGCTATTACGTGGGGATGATCATATCTGAAATTAAGATCGTTATTATTTTGCCTCACATGAATAGATAGAAAGATTTTTAGACATTGTAGCTATAAAATATAAAACAAAAAAAAAGAAACAAGGGCTAAGTAGGGCCGCCTTAGGCACCTTAGGACAGGCATATGCCCCCCAGTGGAACGCTGCAGGGTGATGATGAATAATGGCTTTAGATACTTAATTTTTCTCATATTTTATTTTCTTTCTCTTTGGGAACGAAGTTGCGAGGAAAGTATATGCACATTTTTTATTTTTGTGCAGAAATCATAGAAGACTAAAAATAATTTAAATCGCCCACCCGTTTATATAAGATAGGTTTGTATTAGTAAGCATAGTAAATGCTTTTCTTTTTGCCTCGGCTAAATTTGTCCCAAACGTTACAACGGTCGCGCCAAAATCTCGACATATTTGGTTAGCGCGCATAGAAACGATGACTGGTAACACCACCGTTACAGGAATATTTAATTTTTGACCATAGAATGCTAGAGCCTGCAAAATTAAATCTTTATAATTCCACCGTACAACTTTTGTCGGTCTTTTAATAAAGAGTCTTCAACAAATAACCATAGCCCAGTTTCCAAGAGACGCCGTGATTACACCAATTTCTTTTTGTTCAGTTCTTAGTTTAGATAGAGAATAAAAAGCTCCGCGCTCTTTGAAGCTGGAAAATTAAGAAAATAATCATTTATAAGGTAATCAAACTATCAATGAACAATATTATATTGAATTTTCCTGCAATATGTATCTGTTACCTGCCTGTGCGATGAAACGTCTCCAATTTGTAATAAATATTCATAGGAAACCGCAGATTAAATTTTGACTCCTGTAAAAATCCCAAGAAAGTCAAATCGAATAAATAAAGAAAACACCAGAAGACGTAATGCAATTATTTTGTAATTGTTTCTACTATTATTATAAATACTAACTTATAAACGATGGGAATACTTACGTGTAAACGAATAGTTTGCTTGAAGCAACAAGAGTTATTTTATGACTTAACTAGCTGTTCCTCGCAACTTAGCCCGCGTGTAACTGAGGGTTTTAATTTTTTGCGCGGAACCCTAATTCATTTTCTAAAATAGAAGTAGCCTAAATTACTCCTTATATCATAAGCTATCTGCCAGTGAAAGTTCCGTCAAAATCAGTTCAGCTGTGTCGGAGATTATCCGGAACAAACAGATAGATAAAAATTTTAAAAATTGTGTTTTTGTTATAAGTACCATATATAATTCCATATAAATTTTGTAAAAAGCTGTTATTTTGACATTACATTGTATTACATTGACATACATTTGCATAAAAAAAAAAAAAAAATTACCTAGTATATTTTGGCAGCTGTCAATTTATATACAGTTATAATTTTTTATCAAATTGTTATATAGTTCTTTTAACAATAAAAACTGTATTTCGAAAATTGCAGGTTAGATTTTTTAAGCAATTAAAAAATCGCTTATTTTTCTACTACCTACATTATTTTTATATTTACGTTCGTTACGTCAACTTAAAACCTCCGTAACTCGGTTAATTTTGACCAGAGGAAAAAAAATTATTGTAAAATTTGAAGCTTCTTATACGTGTTAGAGCCATGCTGCAATTATATTAGTAGTATAGTTGTAGCACGAATGGGTCGGCTCGACCGGGGAAGGACCACGCTCTCACAGAAAACCAGCGTCATGCTACTGTGTTTCGTATAGTGAGTGTAGAGAACCGGAGACCCTTTTTACTGGAAACGAGGCATTCCATCTTAGGCCGGTTTTAGAGCTCGACCGACCGTCAGTGCGTACCATCGGTCCCGACGATACGCATAACCGATCGTCAGTTTGTAGCGTTCAGACTTCAGAGCTCTCCTGAGCAATGAAACTGGCCGGACTGGTACAGTCACAAACACGTAAGTACACGAAATAGAAGCGTTAATTTTTTAATTGGTGCTTATTATGTTCGTAAACGTATACGGAACAGAAGACGTAGATATCAGGTTCACCCAATCGTCGCCCAAAGAGCACTTCTAGGGGAATTTACTACTTTATATCCATTATTGCGCGAAGATGAAGAAATTATTTTAGAATTTCAATCAAAAGTTTTGATGAATTATCAGTGAAATTACAAGACAACTTAAAACATCCGCGAGGCGTTCGGTGTCGACATATGCCATGTTTGATAAAAATTACTTAACACTAAACTACTATATACCTATAAAATCATACAATATTATTAAAGTTTAAGTTCTCGGTGTCGACATATGCCATGTTTGATAAAAATTACTTAAATCACTAAAACAACTATATACCTATAAAATCATATAATATTATTAAAGTTTAAGTTCAATTTTCTTGACGATGATACACGCATCCGTACGGTCGGTGTAGCACTGAACGCGTCAATATGTTTCCATAGCGCGTCGGTCGACCGACGGTACGCATGCGGACGCGCTCGACCAACGGTCCTCGTACGCAGTGCGTAGCTACATATATACGCATGCGTACGGTCGGTCGAGCACCGTAACGACTTGTGAATTTTCATACAAAAGGCAAGCTCGACCGACGTACGGACCTACGGTCGGTCGAGCTCTAATCTCTAGTCCTCACGGGTGACAATGCTTCTGCATTTTGATTCGTAATCGAGGATAGAATGTAGATGTCGTTGGGGCACAGCAACCACTTACCATCAGGTGGCATAGTGTGACAAACGAGCACACTGTGTGCTCGTTTGTCACACTATCCTATAAAAAAAGCTTATTACACCTTTTTATTAGAACTTTTTGTCTAATTTTTACCGATTTCGAGTAATTGCGAAAGAAACAATAGATAATTTTTTCAACCCTTGCCAGGGGACAGGCACAATAACCTTTACACATTGTTTTGATATCATTAAAACTACATTATATTAAAAATGCAAAGTCAAGTGCTAAAATTATGATTTCAGACATTATTTGATTGGACTAATTTACCATGCGCTTCGCAAGTTTTAGGATAATAAGATAATTTTCTTACCACCAAGGGTGTAGGGGGAAATTCTTTTTTCAGAAAATTCTTGGATTTAACAACATCTTTGTATGTAATAGTCATTGGATGGTCCGGATCACACCAAGGGTCAAATTCATTATTTCGTTCCTAAAAGAAACGAAACAAATTTTTAAGTAAAGACGTGCCCACGCTGCTTATTATTAATTTATATTATAATTAAAATTATTTAGTGTCTTTTAACAAGCTTAAGGCGGTACCCTGACCAAAACCTGGCAAAAGTGCGTTTTTCAGAGACTATTATCTCATTAGTTATGAGAAATCACATTCCACGTTCTAATTTGTTTTTATGTGTTATGAATACATTTAAAATCTACTTTTAAAAAATGACTAAAATTATTGATTACATGCATCTGTTGCTAAAGGAAATGCTCTAATCATTTGAGAATTACACTAATGGATAGATAATTTAAAAATCTATATTCTACACGTTTTATTTCTTAAGTTCCCTTATCTCTTTTAATTGAAATAATTCCAAATATTCGGGCGTATTTTTCCGTGAAATGTTGTAGCGAGAGCGCGTGGATTGTATGGGACCGAACGCTCAAGGTCTCTCGCTAGGGGAACCGTCTTAAGTGTCTAATTTAGACGGCTGTAGCACGAATAGGTGGGCCCGACAGAGTAAGTGAGAACCACGCTTTCACAGAGTATCAGCTATAAAGTAGCAGCTTAATGTAGTAGTGTGATGAGTAAAGAGAACCGGAGGTTCTTTTTCCTGGTAACGTGGTAGTCCATTTTACACCTTAAGGATAAGAACGCATCTGCATTAGGTTTATATGGGCCACAGCTTTCACTTAACATCGAGTGGAATGTGTGTTAACTTAACACCCCTATTTGATATAAAAAATATTTTTTACGTATAATATGAGATATGAAGGTTTGTGTCTCCCGAAATAAATTTCTGTTAAATTTTAATTTAGGGCTGTGGTACATGGCTCAGACTCTAAACGCTCGCCTCATATTTTGTTATAACGTAAGAAACCTGGGTGAGGGCCACGCGGTAAATATTAAAATATTGTAGTAATTTTAGGTGATGATTTTAGCACGCCGTCTGCAGTTATACACCGTAAATTAGTTAGGAAAGTTATATATCTTAGAAATGATTTTTATAGGGGAAACACATGCTCGCCTCGTGGAGGCAGGAGTGGGTTATGGTGGATTCGGGGTGACTAACGACCTATAGTGTTTCCATCTTTGCCGCATATCGGCAGGGCCATGGAAATGCTTACGCAACCATCCCCAGTCATATAAATTCCAGCGGCACCTTGGCACTCCATGTAAGGTTTTAGCGTTCCCAGAATTTTTTTCTCAGGGATCAAAAATTTTTTTTTTCATTTCCCAAGTTTTTTGGGTGCTCTGAAATGACCTGTATTTTTAATAAACACCATTTTTATAATGTACCAACAAAATCAATAAAATATAAGCAAAGAAACTACTTAAATACGTAGCTGACAATTGATGGCACTTGAAAATTCTTAAAACTTTTATTGTTGTGTGCCTTTGGAAGACGTTTTCAAGCTATTGGACTAAAAATAATAGGGTGTCAATATCATGTACAAAATTTTTTCACCATAGTCCTTTTATTTTTATATATGTCGACGATACAATAGAAAGGAATGTGAAAACACAAAAGACATAGACTTGTGACGTAAACGAAATAAATTGGAATTGTAAAATTTTAACTTACCGGACACCATTCAAATAAGCGCTTTGGGAAATTTCGATTAGCTAAAGCACCGGGTGATTTACCTAAAGAAACTGTGTCAGTTGATGGGTTATGCATATTTTTACTTTATAATTTGTGATAGTAGCCAAATAGTCAAATAGCTTCGAACAATAATAGTACCTAACTGACTTGTTTATTTTTACGGGAGTTTATTGTTTTATATTGACAGGTGACTTATATAGAGATTATAGAGTATTATATAATGATGGATTGCCTGATGATAATTCTTTCAAGCTTGGAAAATTATTTTTGATGAATTCCTAATTTTTTAAATATAAATAATTTTTTCCGCAACCGACGCAGTGTGCAGTGTCTTGTGAAATATATTTTCAATACCTGGAAGAATTCACACGATGTCTTAGGTATTTTTTGTGATTTTTCCAAGGCTTTCGATTGTATTCATCATGGGATATTAATCAGGAAATTACAATATTACGGTGTCAAAAATATTGCGAATAGACTTTATTATTTCATATTTAAATAATAGAAGCCAAAAAGTCGTTATCAATGGTAAAAGTTCCTCCGGATCGCTAATATCTATAGGCGTTCCTCAGAGCTCGATTCTTTATTTGTCAAGTAAAGGACAATTACGATATAGTATTATTTGCTGATGAAACCTCTTTAATTTTAAAGCTCATTTAATTTCAACATATTTTTAGTCCCTCTCCATCAATTTTGTTACATAAATATAAAATGTACAGACATCTTCAATTTACATTTTTATTATATGTATAGAAGATAATCCATATTGAAGAAAAATTACGAGTACAATTACAATTACATTAATTATAATAATAAAAACGCAAGCATTTAGATCTGTCTTGGGTTGACGCTCGAACCCGCAAAGCTCCAATATCAGTTCAATGAAGAGAAATTTCAACGAGGCCGCCAAGTCCTACTAAAAAGCGTTACGGAAGACTTTCCGAGACTGATTAGTCTTGATCACATTATACATATTGGGGCAAAACTCTCTGCCAGACCATTCAGTACTGTCTGCTAATTTAGTCTGCCTGTGGTAAAAAAAAACTAAAAAAAACTTAACTTTTGGTCTCTTGCCAAAGCAGTCAAGACTACTTCTGTCAGCCTACACTGCCTTCGCTGGTAAAACCGGATGGCACACTAGCGCATACAGCGAAAAAGGGACTTGTTCGAGTCTTTCTTTGCGTGTAATTCACGTCTGGATAGTGGCAATAACGTCCCACCTGAATTACCTTACTTCAGGACCTCTATGTCGGAGGTCCGTATCACAAATAATAAAGTTCTTAAAACCTTGCGGTGTCTAGACGTGAATAAAGGCAGTGGACTTAGTTGTAACATATAATTGGATATAGTTCTTGAGGCTTGTGCACCTGAATTGTCTCCTGTGCTGACACTCTTGTTCCGCCTTTAATTTAGGAACGAAATAGTGCCAAAATCCTGAAAGCTAGCCAGCGTGCAGCCTATTCCAAGAAAATGCAGCCACAACAAACACGCAAAACAACAAACAAATCTCAATTACATCCATACTCTGCAAGTCTATGTAGCGAATATTGAACGCCCGCTTAGAGACATACCTAGAACAGAAGGTCCTCCTCAGTGACTACCAGTATACGTTTCATCGAAACCGGTCAGCTGGGGCCCTTCTAGCATATGCTACTCACGTATGGGGCGAGGCAACATTGGGGAAGTATTTGCTATTTCCCTTGATGTCTCAAAGGCCTTTGACAAAGTTTTGCACGCTAGCCTTTTGGGTAAACTTCCAGCGTATGGCTTATCACCTGGTTTAATTGTCTGGGTAAAGGACTTTCTGAGTGAATGGTCTCTCCAGGTCATCGTCGATGGCTGCTCATCCGATCCTGTTGCAACTAACGCCGGTGTTCCTCAGGGGAACGTTCTCTTAGCAACTCTCTTCTTGCGCCATATTTATGATCTGGTTATGCCCGGTATCTGGTATGCAGAAGACGGTACAGTTGTGGAGAAATACCAAATTCTCGGGCCAGTTGGAATCAAAGCCAGTCTGAAAGAGAAGCTATGGTTGAGCGTGTGAATTTAACACTTCAGGCAGTGTCTGAATGGGGCGATGCCAATCTTGTGAAATTCAACTCCTCCAATCTTTGAGTATTCAACCAACTGGAGAGGCCATGCACGTTAATTCCTAAACAAAAAGTCTGTCGATTTCAGGGGGAGGCAAGGAAAATAAACTACTGTATACTTCACTATAAATTCAAAACTGAATCGCGTCACTATACACGCACACTACAATGTTTTCGTTTGTGTTTATTGCATTTACGCATACCATGAAATTGTACATGTGTCTATACACTGGTGCCATTTTCTACATGCGTAAGCAACATAGAGCGAGGACTATGCCGATATTTTTATTGATAAACAAATCATCATAGTCCGCATAAGTCCAGCGTTGATAAAAGTGACTTTTAATGTTTTGTCATTCATTACAGCCCTTAATAACTGCTAAACATAGGCCTCCCCCAAAGATTACCACAAAGCACTTTCCTGAGCCACCTGCATTATTCGGCTTCCTGCATTTCTTACCAGGTCGTCACCCCAAATAGTGGGGAGCTCGCCCTATACTTCGCTCACCGGTACGATGCTACTGCTCGAAAATCTTTTTTCCTCATCGAGTGTTAGTTCCTTGAGTTATATACCCTTTTTACTGGAAAGGAGGCATTCCATCTTAGTCAAAAAAAAAACTAAGATAAAATTTAAACGAGTTCTGTTTCGCGTGCATTAGTAACTATTTTTTTTTTCAATATCTCTTAGACTTTTCTGTAAGTAATAAATCATTACCTTAAATATTTTGCTTACGTAACGTAAGCAAAATATTTAAGGTAATCTAAACTAATAAATTGTTAAACTGTTAATGTTAAAGAATCATCGTTGTCATCATTACGGTCTATCAAAGAGCACAGCTAAACATATGACAACATATTTGCATTTTGATTCGTAATCGAGGATAGAGGTAGATGTCTATGGGCCTAAGCAACCACTTACCATCAGCTGGACTGTGTGCTCGTTTCTAACCCATCTCCTATAAAATAAAATTAGAAATATATGGCAGGCCCATTGCCACTACAGCTTACTAATCCGTTGTGTTATGTCGGTCACTTTGGTTCTACTGCAGATATCCTTATTTTTAAGTTTATTATGCAGAAAACCCCGAGTACAGCCGTCTCCGTAGATCGCTGAGCCTTCTCATATGGCTAGAAGTGAAGGGTACTTAAGTGTAATATAAAATTTTGGTTTTATTATTGAAAAGAATTATGGCCAGTTTTGGAAGACTGAGCAAACTCAGATTTTAATTCACTAGCGGAATGGTGCACGACGCGGAGCAACTAGTTTTATATAACGGGTATGAGTCGGACTTTCGTACTTTTGACAGAGGGTTACGCCTTGCGATGCCGCCTCCTTTGGTTTAATACTCAAAGCCTCCAATCAAACACAATCCAAACACAAGAGTATCTCTTTACTGCAAAAAGGAGCCAGCTCAATTCGGCTCCTTCGTTCCAAAATTCACCATACCTCTGGAACCACCAATATCACTGGAATTCACCGACCGCCTTCAGTGGTTTGTGGTTGAGATATCCTGAAACCTGAACATCCGACAGTTCATTGAGTCCAAGGCCAAAGCAGCTGCGAGGAAGCTAGGAGTTCTGGTAAGGGTGCGGCGGTACTTCACGCCAAGACAGCTGCGTACTTTATATAAAGCGCAAGTACGGTGGAGCATGTAGTATTGCTGCCATATATGGGCTGGTGCTGCAAAATGCCCACTAGCAGCTTTGGACTTAATGGAAAGGTGTGCTAAGAGGCTTATTAGTGATCCGAATTTGGTTAAAACTAATATTACCAGTCCCGAACACAGACACAAAGTGGCCAGACTTTCAGTTTTCTACAAGATGCATTTCGGAGTGTGCGCAGGATTCTTTATACGTACAGCAAAGATGTGGAATAAGTTGCGAGCAGCTGCCTTTCCATCCAATTACAATGTTAGTGTCTTCAAGGCTTTTTTTTAAGTCAATATGCTTCACCATCTTAGGCTACATCACCACTAACCAGATGAGGTTTTAATAACGCGCTGGCTTAGAATAGAAAAAAATATAGGATTAGAATCCCGGATTCTCGTTACAGAAGTCACTACACGGTAACTACAAAAACACATGGACAGCGATGTACACAACAGTTTTAAAATTACTAAAATTAGCTATACTAAATAATGAACAAGGCATCGGCGACCGGCTGATGGAGGAAAACCATTAAATTATACCGACTCAAATTATTGTATAAATATACTTTGTATTTAAATTTGTAGATTGGTGTTAAAGAGTAGCATCATCAGTCCGACGGTTTCGTCTCAATGGTAACCAACTTGCCTGCCCAGTTTGGTCAGTATAGACAACTACATACCCATGTACTATAATTAAGTCCCATGTGGTTATCCTAGTGAAAACTGTCTTATTACAAAGCGCATTTTATTGATAGTCGGAGAGCATCTACATGTAACCATGGTAGGATAAATGTAGGTGCCCATGGGCCGCATCTACTTACCATCAGGTGGACTGTGAACACGTTTGTCACCGGTATTCCATAAAAAAGTCTCAGGTATTAACAATGTTTTGATGGGCTGTAAGGAAGAAAGGAAATACAAAATAATTCCAATAAAACGCTTTATTATGAACTTGGAACCGTTTTTTAACTGTACCTACAGCTAAATTTAACGAAACCTATGCGACACGAAATGGATTAATTTTTATATTGTCGTAAATTACTTTTGCATGCAAATTGGATTGGGTGCGAGACAGGGCCCACGACGAGCGGTGGACTTCTCCGGCTGTTCGTCAAAATCTGGGAAGTAATATTCTTTATAATTTTTCTTTATGATATCCATGAGCTCTCTCGTGTGGTCCCATCCTCTTGTTTCCGCTATCACTTTCAACTGTTTTTAAAAAGAAAACAAAATGTCTCTGTAATTGTATTTTATACTTTTATTTAATGATTACAGTCAAAGATTTTTTTCTTTACATTGTTTTTAAGTCAACTTCTATGACTATTATCACTATATAAATGGTATTATCACTTAAACCTTTAAAATTACTGGATCGATTTTAAAGGCGTTTTTACCACCAGAATTTTATGTATATTTTTTACAAGAATAGAAGAAAAACTTTAGCGTTTTGTGGTTAAATCGATAAAAAATAACCACATGTTGGTTAATCTATAACCTATGCGAAGCCGAGAATAGTAGCTCATGTTTTACAAATTAAAAAAAACCATCCAAGAGCGTGTCGGGCCACGCTCAGTGTAGGGTTCCGTAGTTTCCCGTCCGTCACAATAAGTGTTCCCACTTACGAGTTTAAAGGTGGGTATCCATTATGCTCGCGCTCCAGCAGCGCTCCGCGCTCCTGCAACTGCTCCCGGTAGTGGGTACTGTGGTTTCCACCCAAGTTCAAAATGATTTTCCTAGAAAGTCCTTATAAAGTTCTACTTTTCAGATTTTTTTCATATTTTATAAACTTATGGTTCAAAAGTTAGAGGGGGGGGGGGACACATTGTTTTTTAGTTTTGGAGCGATTATTTCCGAAATTATTGCCATTATCAAAAAATGATTCTAGTAAACCCCTATTCATTTTTAAATACCTTTCCAACAATATATCACACGTTAGGGTTGAAATTAAAAAAAAAATCACTTCCCACTTTACATATAGGGGGGCTATCCTAATAAAACATTTTTTTCCAATTTTTATTTTACCACTTTGTCGGCGTGATTGATACACATATTGGTACCAAATTTCAGCTTTGTAGTGCTAACGGTCACAGAGATTAAACGAGGACGGACAGACGGACAGACAGACATGGCGAAACTATAAGGGTTCTTAGTTGACTACGGAACCCTAAAAATATGGTTGATCCACAAACCTACAAATTATAAAAGCAAAAAATGCTCCAAATTTAAAAACTTATCATAATCTTGAAAAACCACGTTCTTTATTATTTTCAAATTTGAATATTTCATGACAAAAATCAACAGATTCTGACGAACTTGATGACGTTCGACGCAGTTTCTTAAGCATTCATAGTAAATTTATTACTTCAAAAACAACTCAAGAAAAAGTCACACACACACACACACACGCGCGCACACACACACACACACGCGCGCGCACACACACACACACACCGCGCGCGCGCGCGCACACACACACGCACACACGCACGCACGCGCGCACGCACGCACGCGCACGCACGCACGCACACGCACGCACGCACGTACGCACGCACGCACGCACGCACGCACGCACGCACGCACTCACGCACGCACGCACCCACACACACACGCACACACACACACACAGCACAGCACACAAGCACGTACGCACACATGCACCCACATACAGGCACACACGCAAGCACGGACACACGCACACACCGCGCGCTCACACGCACACAAACACATATATAGTGACATTCTCAATAGAAATAGTCAGAATAGCTTCCTAGGACCTCAAAACGTCGAGATCTGATGAAAACTCGATTTTCGAAAACTGAGATGAAACAGATTTTTGAAAATCAATGATTTTCATAGCAGGCAGTTAGAAACTCAATAACAAAAAATATTGTCTCCTAACTTATGATCTGAACACAGTCCTTGACCACAAAGTATACTTTCGCGATCTCATTTACAGAGTAACTTGTTATTTATTTTTTATTTTATTTTTTATTGTTTTTATAGCACTGGTTTTTTATATTGTCACGACTACAACAATCAACGATACGAAACAGTGTTGCCAACAATACTTCGTCACTTAAAGTATGTTACTTAAATTGAGCACAGAAAATCAATTGAACTTAATATTAATACAGCATCAATGCGTCGCATTGCTCTTACAGGTAATGGACCCAATCTTACAGAATACCAGCTTAAAATAGCAATATTATTTTGCTTCATTTCATAGGCCGAGTAACGTGAATCGGAGGTTCATTTTTAATGGTAACGAGGCAATTCCATCTAAGTCCTTAGAGGTCCTCAGGTGTGACAACGCATTTACACAATCGATGATAAATTTATGTTATGTATATCTTTAATCAATATTAATATCCCCTTACCGTCATGTGCACTGTGAGCTCGTTTGTCACTCTTACTTGTTTAAGAAAAGGCAACTAATAAAGGTTCCTTCGATGAGTTCCGATTCGTAATGTAAACAGAACAATCATTATAGAGCAGTGGCGTGTTAAGATTTAGAGGCGCTTAACATTGAAGGTTTTGTTGGCCTTGCCTATCGCAATTATACCTATATTAACCTATATATACAATATGTAATGTAATTAACTCACACCCTCAGACACCCCAATTAATATATTATGTTATAATCATAATACATACACTGAATTTTTAGTTAAACATTTTATGCACTGATTATTTATCAAATTAGTTATACTAATTTCGGAAGAATGTTGTGATGACAGTACAAATCCACGAACGCAAAGACTTTAACGTGCTTGAAATAAAGTTCATTTTTCTTTATTTTCATTGAATGACAGAATTAGTAATATACAAATAAAACTGCAATCTTAAAAGTCTTATTGTCTTAAGTTACGGTCCATTTCAGTTTGTTTTGACTGTACAGATTTAGTGTGACTGTAATTTACGCAGTTTTAATTATTTTTGGGATAAAAATTACCTATATTAAAAATAATAGATATAGATTCAGTAAACGGTTCTGAACAAAGTACCTTCTCAAAGTGCGTTAATTATGTTACATGTTGTATATATATATATATATATATATATATATATATATATATATATATATAATTTATTATATGTAGTATACAGTATAGTGGCGGCATATGAGGATCCATCACTCCATATGACCTTCGGACCTACCATATAATATGTCATATAATCCCATGGATGTCATAAGACGCGACCGAGAGAAATGAAACAATATATAGTAAGCAGCATCTTCCTGAAAACAACTCAAAATAATTTAAAAAAATGCGTTTACCAATCCGCCTGCCAAGACACGTGGCAATGGACAATGATGATGACGATGATATTGATATTATTCATTGAAAAATTCAATTGATATCAATACGCATTGCTTTTTCATCTGGTGTCGATGATGTTAATGCTGCTAGCCTATGCCGCTCTTACAGCTTCGTAGGAGTCGTTCGCATTGTTTTTTATTTTTAGTTTTTTGTTTGGAAAAAATAATATTTTATTAGTATTATTTTGCCGCCCCGAAATTCAGCCGATCTGAGGTTTTACAATGTTAGCCCTTGCGTAACTGATGTAAAGAAAACTTCTTTCCTATTTTTTCATTTTTCTAAGAGCGTCCACAAATAAGAGTGCTATGAGAATTTACTATCGTTCAGCTAATGAAAATCTCGCTGTTTTTATGCAATGTACGCGGATAGCGATTTAGAACTACTAATAGTATAAAAAACTACGTCATTCGAATGAAAGGGACCTTCTTTCTCTTTCTCTCATTAGCGGATTGATGTTAAGGTGCATATATTTATTTGTGTTTTTTCAATGAGCTTCATTAGGAAATACAATACCTCACAACGAAACACATCTCCCTTCACCCACGCTCGTTCCGGTATGCAGTCGCGTAAGGTAACGCCACAATTAGCCATTAGATAGCAAAGATCGGCCATGCCTCCGGGACGGTCGCTCACCGTCACCTTGAACTTCACAAGCCGCCCCTCAGCTGCCATGCCACGCTCCAGCGCCCGTGCGAGTATAGTTGTATCGATGTTGCCGCCGGTCAGTATGCACACCACTCTGACGATTTTATATAACGATATTTAATAAATAATTTAATCATACATAGCTTAGGATTCCAGAGTCAAGGCTGCAGAGAGGAAGAGGGACAGATACATATCAGGCTCTCTACTTTTTATAATTGACTCCATCCCTAAGGAGTAGACAAACCGCCACCCTGTATTTAAAGGCTAGAGTTGGCTCATATGGTTTTCACATGCACACAACGTAAAGACAAAGTGAAAGAGCTTCACTTCAACAACAAGAAAGAGCTTAAAATAAGCTTAAATCTAAAAAAGATATGAACACAGCTGTCTTATTATCCGATGCCATGACAGCGGTATCAATGTGGATTTCTCAACGATCAAAAATGAAGGATTTCAGTTTAGAATTAATCAATAGTTATTTATAGTGTATGTAGTTACATAAAAAATAGTTATATTACCTTAAGAGAAGTTTGCATAAACTGAAATTTTTAAACTTACTCGAATTTCGTCAAAGTTGATAAAATTAAATGTCAATAAAATCTTGAGTTCTTCGAATAGAACAACTATTTCAAAAGCCTATTCTAGACCAAAACATTCAGACCAGCGCAAAAAGCAGCATCAAGGAATAAGTTTTGTGAGTCTGAAGGTAAAACGATCGCCAATCTTCTTGTTATGGGTTGCGAATAAGGCATAACTTTTTCTTGGAAGCAATTCATGTCAACAAACTATTAGAACCGATGACGATGACGATGACGGAACTGTTTTGAAATTATTATAAATTTAAAATACGATATTATGTACACAAAAAATATGAACGCACTTTTTTCCCTTTAAATTTGGAAAGAGACCAGCTATTACAGCAGCGACTGAAACCGCTCCAGATCCTTCAACCACAAATCTCTCTTGTTCGACGATATGCATCACTGCACGAGCGACCCAATCTTCTTTGACTACAACCTGTAATGTTTTCATTTTTATATTATAATGAACTTCTAAAGTATTTGACCGTTCTAATCAAATTTCTTACTCACCATTTTATCTACAAGGCCCTTTATGGTATGAAAAGTGTTCACTCCAACTTTATTGACTGCTAGACCGTCAGCTATTGTGGAATCGATAGGAAAATAAATTCGCTCATTTTTCCGCAATGATTCTACCATACTACAGGTTAAATCAGTTTCGACGCCCTAAAAATAGCACAAATAATATACATCCGTGAAAAAATCGTTTAAGGATAGATTCTATCAGGTTATTTCGTAACATCAGAACATTTAAATTATCAAATTTAAATGTTCTAAGATAATTATCATACGTGATAGAGCCACGCTGCAGCTATATTATGATTGTAGCATGAATGGGTCGACTCGACCGGGGAAGGACCACGCTCTCGCAGAATACCAGCGTAAAATAGCGGCATAATACTGCTGTGTTTCGTATGATGAGTGTAGAGACCCAGTGACCCTTTTTTATTGGAAACGAGGCATTCCATTTTAGTTCTCAGGGGTGACAACGCATCCGCGTTTTGATTCTTAATCGAGGATAAATGTAGATGTCTATGGAACACAGCATCCACTTACCATCAGGTAGACTATGTGCTCGTTTGTCACCGTTTTGGCCCATAGACATCTACATCTATCCTCGATTGAGAATCAAAATTCAGATACGTCATCTCTAAAGACTATGATGGAATGCCTCGTATCCAGTAAAAAGGGTCTCTGGTTTTTTACAGTCACCATTCGAAACACAGCAGCATTTTAAGTTTAAATATTTTGTGAGATTATAGTTTAAATATTCTGTGAGAGCGTTGTTCTTTCTCCGGCCAAGACTACCTATTATACCTAGACCACAGATTCCACTTAACCCACTGACCCTTTTTTATTGGAAACGAGGCATTCCATTTTAGTTCTCAGGGGTGACAACGCATCCGCGTTTTGATTCTTAATCGAGGATAAATGTAGATGTCTATGGAACACAGCATCCACTTACCATCAGGTGGACTATGTGCTCGTTTGTCACCGTTTTTCTATAAAAAAACATATTGTCTATAATTCTGCTCCATTTTATAGTACTTATAAATAGCTCATGGAGCATGACGGAGATCTACTTACATTAGCTTTTTCTTACGAGAAGTTAACAGTTATAAGCTAGAATTATCATTAAGAGAACCTTGCATATGATTACGTGAATACAATAAATTAAAAAAACACATACAACATTTCATACTTACATAAATTTCAACATTAGGCTTAAGATGCTTAGAGAACGCACATACACCAGCTATAAGACTGCCGCCGCCTACCGGTATTATAATTGCGTCTACATCTGGAATTTGTTCCAATATTTCTACACCCGCAATTCCTTGTCCTTCTATGATATTCGGATGGTCGTATCTATATATAAAATAAATATAAGGATTATATTTATTTAAACATTTTATACAATATTTATTACTTTTATTTTGATTTATTATTGTAACTCGTACCCGTTTATATACATCATCTTCTTCTCCTTACCGAGAGTCATTGCGTATAATTTAGCTTCAGAAATATTATCACCGTGAAGAACAGGTTTAACCCCGAAATTTCCGCATTTGGTCATTTTCGTGAGTGCCGTACGTTTCGGCATCACAATCACGCACGGGATACCAAGGCGTGTACTGTGGTAACTCAAAGCCATTCCGTGATTTCCTGTGCTGGCCGTTACCACTCCGATCCTCTTTTGCTCTTCAGAAAGTAGTAGCAACGTGTTACAGACCCCACGTTCTTTAAAACTATTATGTTAAATTATTATTTTATTAACAAGCATTTTAAAACTAAGATATACTATTTAACTAGGAATAATACAGATATCAGCATTATACATTAGTATTTTTTTAACATAAGCATCTTTCGGTTTACCAAATTATAAATTTTTACATCAATTCCGTATTTGCTAAAGTATTTCTCAGAAGTGAATACAAATGTTTAAAGTAATATGGAGGCTTTAAAATTACAATTGTCCAGCCACAGCCACAGATAATGGGTCGTCGTCCCTACTGTGAGAGGACCTCGCTCTCACAAAATACCCGCATAAAATGCACACCTAAGTAACCTAGTTACTATGGAGTGTGGAAGTAAGGAGTACCAACTCCCATAGTAAAATAGTTGAAAAAGTGACCATCTGTAAGTAGTAAATAACAATTCAAAAACTCTCCACAACAGCGCTGGAGTAGCTACTGGGATGAAATGAACTTAGCAGTTGTCGACGGTTTGAAGTGTGCTGATAAACTGCTCAGTAGCTCTAAAATCTAAAATAATTTTATTTAGTAAATATAACCTCGAAAAAGACGTCTATCCCACAAATATTTTTCGGCACATTCTTTAAAATTTAGCCCGTAGCTATAGTGGCGCCAACCTTATTTAACGGTTTTCTATGGACCCTTTTTAATACACAGTCTGCACTCCTTACTTCTACACTCCATATTAGTTACCTTACTTGGAGAATGAGAAGCCCTTTTTATTATCAGGTAACTAAGCAAGTTCTCTCTCCCGCTATCTATTAGCCCTCAGGGGTGAAAACGCACTTTTATAGAATAAGGGTGACAAGCAAGCATATATCCCATCTGATTGTAAGTGGATGCTGTGGCCCATAGACATCTACATCTATCCTCGATTGAGAATCAAAATTCAGATACGTCATCTCTAAAGACTATGATGGAATGCCTCGTATCCAGTAAAAAGGGTCTCTGGTTTTTTACAGTCACCATTCGAAACACAGCAGCATTTTAAGTTTAAATATTTTGTGAGATTATAGTTTAAATATTCTGTGAGAGCGTTGTTCTTTCTCCGGCCGAGGCTACCTATTATACCTAGACCACAGATTCCACTTAACCCTCGGGTCGTCGCCTGGGGTCCTACAAAGCCCAGGTATTATACAAAATCAATAAAAACCTATACTTAAAATAATCGTAGTGACTCCGCTCCTTAGGTACCTTCCTAAATTGAATTATATTTGGCGCGCATCACGGCTAACTTCAGTTCGCGCGCAAGCGCTATGCTATGTGGTATGGACGTATTTGTTTAAGCGCGGGGTCTGATAGAACCCACGCGACGAACCAGGTAAGTAACATTTTATAACTCATTTTGGAATTTAATATTATTTTGGATTTCTCGTAATACAACTCCTTTTTTGTTTTTTATATTATAATTTCGTTGATAATTAATGAACTTTAATTTTATTGTTTTATTTATTTCACATTTTTATTTATTTGTGTTTGTTTTTATTGTTTTAGATTAAGTGCTTTTATAATTTTTTTATAAAAATGATGAACGAACAGCAGCAAAGACGCATATTGAGCTGGCTAGAAGAAGATGCCGATGATATTCTCGGTGGTGATGATGAGGAAAATGAAACCGGAGTGTTTCCTGATCAAGTGAGTGAGCATGACACTGACTCAGAACCAGAATGTGACAATGATTTGCATCAGGTATTTTCGAATTATAATGAATCTTTGGAAATGCCAAACGAAGAGCACTTGAGTTTGCGATTAGTGAACGAATCTATGGAAGTTCTCGAATCAGCGTTCAGTGATGGTAATGAAGAACCATTGATAAATATTTCGTCCAGTAACTTTTACATAGTAGAAAAATTGGAGAGAAACGGCACCAGTAGAATTATTTGCAAATGGAGAAAGACACTGTACCCACAAGTCGCTAGAACAAGAAGACATAATATAGTTACGAAACAACCAGGTCCACAAGGTGCAGCGTATGAGGTGTCTAGTCCCTTAGAGTCTTGGCTCCCGTTTTTGGATATAAATATGTTGCAACATGTTGTCGACTGCACAAACATAAAGATAACATACATGCAGTTCAACTATGAGAGATCAAGAGATGCTGAGCACACCAACTTGATTGAACTGAAGGCTTTGATCAGTATTATGTGTTTGATTGAAATCCGTAAGGCGTCTCATACTTCGGTCGATGATATTTGGATGGCTGACGGTACCGAAATCGATAAATGTCGAGCTGTCATGTCTAAGCAAAGATTTCAGTTTTACAAAGAAAGAAGCACAGTTAATAAACTAGCGCCGATAAGAGAAATTTATGAATCTTTTGTCAAGAATTGTGACACATGTTACAAAAATAATGAAAATGTTACCTTGGACGAAATGTTAGAGAGTTTCAGAGGCTCCGCCGTCGCCAATATATGCCTAACAAACCTGTAAAGTTTGGTATCAAGTTATTTTCTCTGGCGGATGCTAAAACATACTATACAAAGAAATTAGAAATATACATTGGGAAGCAGCCGAGAGGCCCGTATAATCAAGATACTTCAACTGTTTCTCTTGTCAAAAGGATGGTAGAACCAATTGTAGGAACTGGACGAAAAGTGACAATCTATAATTAGTTAACGAACATTCCGCTAGCTGAACAATTACTTATAGATTACATATTTGACAGTAGTTGGCGCAGTGAGAAAGAACAAGCCGGAAATCCCAAATGACTTCAAGCTAAACGGCTTGGAAGAATTTTCCTCCGTGTTTGGTTATAGCAACCACAGATATTACTTTCTTGCTGCCTCAAAAAGGATACAGTTGTACTCTTGTTCTCGACAATGCACAATAATGGCGCAGTGGATGATTATACTAAAAAAAAGCACCCGGAAATAATAGAGTTTTACAATAAAACTAAAGAAAGTGTCAATGTGGTAGATAAACTGATCGGCACTTTGTCGCTCGCATTCGTTACAGATGGCCACTAAGGTTATTTTTACATTTCTCGACGTGGGAGCTGTGAACGCCCATATAATATGGGATACTATAAATCATGACAATAAAATAAAATGGAACGCGTTTTTTAAAACATTGGCTTTTGAACTGTGTCGTCCTCAACTACAGGCTAGGGCAACTATTACGAATTTGCCGCGTGAATTGAGACAGACGATGAGAAGATTTGTACCACCACTTGAGGATATTCAACATGAATCAAACGTCGTGCCAATGAGAAAGCGATGTATTCACTGTCCTCGAAGAACAGACAGAAAATTTAAAATTTGTACCAACACATACTAAAACAGTACGTACTGAATGTGTTCATACTGAAAATTAATTAGGTTTTTCAACATTTCAAAATTCATATGTTTTTGTTACTAATCGTACCAAACTTTATATTAAAAGATAGACAATTTCAATTCGATTTCGATTACTTAAGTTTTTAGAAAAGTTTCAAATTACTGTTGATTTTTTTTAATTACCTGGTGATATCATGGAGAGATTTTTTTGTTCCTAATTCTAGTATGTAATTCAAATCAATAAATATATAAATAATTAAATATTTTTTGATTTCATTTTATTGATATTGAATCAAATAAGACTAAAATATAAAATAATGTTGGTAAATATATAAATTTATGTATTTTTTACCCATTTATTTTAGGGGCTTCCAAAGACCCCGCGCGACGAAAGACGTTACAAAAAAAGCGCGACTAACCGAGGGTTGAGTATCATCAGGTTCTCAGCTATCATGTGCACGTTTGTAACATAATATATAAAAAACCTGTTCTTCTGAAATATTACCTTCCCGTGTATTGCATGAATTCTTGCTTGAAATACAATTCCATTCCGAGTTTGTCCGACATATGTCCTCTCTAAAGTGAAAGAAAGAGCTAAGAATAATGGTCTGGATATAGGATAGAGGTAGTAAGAAAAATTATAAAACCCAAGTTCGTACCACGCATGGTGTCTTTACAATACAGCCCACGCAGCGACGTGCAGCAGCCAAAACGTCATCATGTTTAATTTTTCTCGGATTAGCCGGGTCACAGTAGGGATCAAATTCAGGGTCCTTCATATTTAGAGATAGAATGACAAAATGTTAAATCATCATTAAAGTATAAATTATTTGCAAAATTAATGCAATTTAAATAGTTTTCGTTAGGATTATGAATGTTTGAACAGATCAATTGTATCAAATATACTTATGTAGAGCCTTTAAATTCGATGATTACACAAACAATTCATTTTATTAATTTTATAATATTATATGTGTATACAAGTACCGGTAAGCGAAGGTGCTGCCTCCCCCCCCCCCCCACTAGATACAGTGACAACTTGGCTCAGGTAGCTCAGGACTATGTTTTGTGACTTTCAATGGGGGAAGCGTATGTTCGTCAGTGGACTTGTGAACGGCTTTAATGATATTTATGATGATGTAGTATAAAATTATAACTCACCGTGTGGTGGTGGTTTAACAATATCCACTACCCCATAGAGTCCCGAGGGTGTCGTAAGAGGTAAAATGAGGGAAAATGAACCTGATAACATTTCAATAAAAAAAACTCAAAATATTTAAAAACTGCGGTTGCAAACCCGCTTGCCAAGCGTGGGCTTATCCCCCTTATGCAATATATGAGGAAGGCCCAGGCTCAGCAGTGGACTTTTATAGGCTGTAATCCGTCCGTCTATTATAGAAATTGGGTCTTCCGGATTACAGCCTATATATAATCAGTTTTATAGGCTGTAATCCGAAAGACCCAATATCTTCCTTAATCTTTGCTATTGGTCTATAGATGCTGATATTAGAAAGGACAAATGCAGAATGTATTATTATATTCTTTTATATCAATAGCTTTAGTATTTGCGTACCTACATATGAAAATATATATGTACTTACATTCATTATGTAGAAATTAATTTATCACAAATAATTTACCGTTCCCAAATGTTAATTAAAGAAAATAAAATAACTATAAAAGTTTCATGATGTGATTGATCATAAAAATGCCACCTGGCATTTTACATGTCTTTTTAAATCTGACACAAATTCCAACAACAACAGATTAAATTCTCATTTTGTTCTCTATTCTGTCTCCATCACTTTTATTTTATCAAATAAGTTCATTTTAACCTTCTTCAAAAAGGAGGACGTACTCAATTCGACTGTATGTTTTTAAATTCCCGCTAGGAAAATCAATGATTTTGAAGTTGTTGTCCCGGATTTTGAAAATCGAGTTCTCATCAGATCTCGAAGTATCGAGGTCCTAGGAAGCTATTCTGACTATTTTTGCGATGACGTCCGTATGTATGTGTGTGTGTGTGTGTGCGTGCGCGCTGGTGTGTGTGTGTGTGTGTGTGTGTGTGTGTGTGTGTGTGTGTGCGCGCGTGCGTGCGTGCGTGTGTGTGTGTGTGTGTGTGTGTATGTGTGTGTGCGCGTGTGCGCGCGCGCGTGGTTGTGTGTGTGTGTGTGTGTGTGTGTGTGTGTGTGTGTGTGTGTGTGTGTGTGTGTATGTGCGTGCGTGCGTGCTTGCGCCACCAATCGCAAACTTTAAAAAATAATAGTGAGGCACGAATACTAAGTTTTGACAATCCACGGTACATAAGGTCCAATGATTTCAAAAGCAATATATAAGTAATATACGACTATAAGTAGATTGCTTACCACTTGCTCAGCGGAAAATTAAAACATTGAGGAAGCTTTATCTGCTTGGATGAAAATATTTTGAAATCGTTAAGTGGAGACAGTACTTATAACGCCGTGTAGCGGCGGCGTATTACTTCAAGCACTAAGACCCAATATCCTCCTGCGAGTATCGTAAAAGGCGATGGAGGGAGATGAAACAGGATATAGGTAGCAATATCTTCCTGATAACAAAATAATATAAAATTGCTGTTATTAACCAACTCGAGGGTACTATGGCATTATAGGTCGGCGGATTCACACGGAATGCGGTCTTTCTTTGCATGAGGGCGGGTACGTTTCTCACCGGATGATCGCAGCGCTGTTGCTGATTCTATCACTGATGTGGTGCCTCAAGGAATTTAACTATTTGTATTATCATCTGTAGTACCCATCGGAAGCAGATTTCAGTCTAGGTTTGATCGCTCCAGTAAAACTGCATTACGCAGTAAGCAAGATTGTTTTCAAGCCTGGACTGACACTCTGGTAGCCGAGGATGTAAACACCAGCATCCTTAAAAAGAAGCATAAATCCGCTTCCCAGTATAACAAGCTTTTCACTTGGTGAACTAAGTCATAACGATGTGTCAAACATAAAATACCCTGTGCAATTTTTCAATGTGTTAAATTATTCGAAAGTTTGACAGATTTTTTAATATAATTATCGAATAACGGAAATATAAAAACCCAACACCAAGTGCATCATAGCGTATTCTTTATATAGCAAGGGTAATATGGTCATTCGGTTAAAATGGTGACGTTCTTACAATTCCAAAACTACAGCATTGTTTGCATAGATGACTCTGTGATACGATAGCTCTTCATCAGTCATTCAAATAATAAAGGGTCAAAAAGGCGCTGCTTTATCAACGCCATTTGACAATTGACATTATAGTGAATATTTTAGTCGATTTTAGTATGGTGTAGTGTGGTCAGTTTTTGTAAATAGATTTTTCGAAATGTTCCTAATTATTGCCAAAGCTTGTTCTCCGGTACTTCAAGAGTTATTGTCGTAATAAAATGAAAACATTGGCAGAATTGGTGAGAAATTAGTTCGCTTTCTTTCGGAAACCCGTGTCAGGTCTTTATTCAGGTCTCTCGTCAATGCTGTCCAAAAATATTTCTGTAAGCCATCATTTCCATATCTGCACTGGGAGAACGACTCGCTGGCCTACGCAGCAGTAGAGAAAGCCGACGTGATTATGTAACTCGACACTCGAAGACGGGGGAAACGCCGCCGACCATCCCGTGGTGTCTTCGACCACCCCACGTCTGATGTGCGATTCAAACAGTGCTCAGTACGCAAAGCATTCCTCTCCCTTGTCATCCTCAGCCACACATCCAAGCAGTTCATTTCCGGTTTTGGTGTGGCTGCAGACGTGTTCTTCACTTCACAGCTCATCCTAGGTCGGAGCGTTGTGTTGCAGTGTGCTATTGGGGCTAAAAGAGTCTCTTCCAGACCTACAGGCAGTTCCAATGAACTAGAATTGAGTTTTTCAAAATATCGATTTTCGTCCATTTTGGTCCCACGATTATCTAGGGAAATATTCGGTCACCCCCGACAGAGCCCTGCACGCCGAGGGAAGGGCTAAAATATTACCTAAATCCCTCTAGTCTGGGGTAGGCGCCATTTGCTACTGGATTCCCCCCAAGACACGCATCCATCGGCACATTAACACCTTGGATTGGGTTAGGATAGGGAAATTGGTAGTGGAATAAAAGAAAAGAAAAAAGGGTCGTCTGAAATTTTTCTGTTCTGTCCGTTTCCTATT